AAGAAAAATCTCAAATCAACAGGTTATCCTTACTCCTCAAGAAACTGGAAAAAGTGATGTGACCCACACACCAACCGAGCATTCCTGAATCATCAGCCAGGAACCCACTGAAAGGCTACCTGAGAGAACTGGGTGGGAGACTGGAAAAGAAAGAGACTAGAATGAAAGCTGGGGACAGGAGGTCCACCCAATACTGATGGCAGAAAGTGACCTCGTTTATTATTTGTATACAGCTTTTATAGCAAAAGTAACTTTCCTAGGGTAGGGGGATTTTGGGACCTTGAGGGAGTAGCCCCCTCCTCTCAGGGAACAAATTCCTTGGAAGCAATCTTTCCGAAGTGAGTCAAAACAAAGTATAGCAAGAAGAAACTGTTAACAGGATGGCCTTCCACTCTGTAGCTTTGAAAGCTGTTGGCTGCTTTCTCCTCAGCGGCCAACCTTCCCACACTGCTCACTCGGGCCTGAGAGCCTGTTAGCCTGCCAGCTTTCAGGTTTAACCCTTACTGCAGACGTCCAGCTCTCAGGCTTAACACTTACTTGCAGACCTCTGGCTTCCTACATCTCTCCCTTTTTTATCTATTACTTAAAGGCAAACCTCTGGTTTACTAAGGCTGCGGTTGGCTTCATGGAGGCTGTGTCTGCCTTGGGTTGTCCTCCTCAAGGAATTGAATCTTACCCGCCATGGGCTAACCAGCCATCTTAGGACTGGAGCCTGTCTTAGGTTGTTTCCTCCCTGGGGGATCTTACCCGTCATTGACTAACCAGCCATCTTATAGTTGGCCCTCTATGACTGTGCCTGGCTTGGGTCATCCCTCTCCCAGGGATCTTACCCGTCTTTGGCTAACCAGCCGTTCTGTGGGGCCAAGCCTCACAGAGCCAAACCTGGGGGTGGAAATGGAGCATGAGCATCGGACACAAAAGGACTTTGTTAGAGGGTGAGCAGTGGGGCCATACAGAGAACTAACAATGCTATGGACGGGGATATTTAATCTCTATCATGAGTTGTGTGCGATGAGTCTCTAGGCTTAGAGCTTGAAGGCAAGATTTCAAAACTGCTTGGCAAACTGAAACAAAGCACAACATTAGAAGCAAGAGAACCACAGTGCCTACTAAGGTCCAGGTGATAATCTAGACAATAGAAATTGATTTGAACTTGTTAAATGTGTTAATTATATCTTTAGCTACATCTTTTGGGTTAGTAATATCCAGTTTGTTATCCTGCATAGTAATAATCTTTTTGTGAATCAGGGCGAAGTCAATGCTAAGGTTTGTACTATGCCAAATGCCCTGGAGATAATTAGAAATGGCCTCAAATTCCACTAAGTATTGTTATAACAAGTGACGCAAATCCCTCGATATTTAGCATGACATCGGAGGGAAAGATAGCGGCGTATGGCCTCAATATCATTACCTATCTGAAGAACAGGGTCCTCTAACACACTAAGGTGGAGCTCAATTTTTTACCTATATCTTCTTGAGTGTGGAGCACTGAAGAAGCATTTTGAGCAAGCTGTTCAACATAATCTGCTGTTTTGATAGAATTGGTTAGAGATACAGTGGCTGTGATTGCCGTGGCTATGATAGAAATAACTGCAGCAGGACTGGGATTCCAAAAATGGTCTGCTGCAGAGTGACCTTGAGCATCCGTTTGTAAAAAATTTAATGTAAAAAGTGTACTCAGTTCCCATAGTCTCCCCTTTTTCATTTTATTAATTGATTTTTAAGTGAGCGATGAGCATGCTCAATAATTACTTGACACTGTGGGTTATATGGAATACCTGTGAGGTGTTGGATCTGAAAAGTTAAGCAAAAATTTTGAAAGACCTTGCTAGTATAGCCAGGTCCACTGTCAGTCTTTATGACTTTTGGGATGCCCGTAGTGGCAAATGTCTGGAAACAGTGACTGATGATATATTTTGTAGCTCACCAGAACATGCTGTGGCAAATAAGAACTCAGATTTAGTGTCAATAGTGGTATGAACATAAGGAGTATTTTTAAAACTAGGAATATGAGTAACATCCATCTGAAAGATGTGATTTGGAAGTAACCCTTGGGGGTTAACTCCCAAATGTGGTTCAGGAAGCAAAGTTGTACAGTTGGTACACTGTTTAACTATCTGTCAAGCCTATTCTCAAGTGATCTTGAACTCGTGTCTTAGTGACTGAGCATTTTGGTGGTGGAGAGTATGAGACTGTATGGCCTTTTCCACAGGGCTTATAGGTGTGGCAAAAGAGGTCTGGACTGAGAGATCTAGTGATTGAGTAGCCACGTCTGCAGCAGCATTGCCTGCAGACAAAGGTCCTGGAAGGTCAGAGTGTGCTCTAATATGACCAATATACAGTGGTTGTCACCTAACAAGAATGGTCTGTTTTAGTTAATGGAACATATGGAACAGCTTCTCAGTGGTGGCTGAGCTAATATGAGCTGTCTCTATAACCTTGCAGACACCAAAGACATAATGACTATCTGTATAGAGGTTTAGTGACTGGTGTGAAAACATGTAAAGCCCAGGTAACTGTGGATAGCTCCACCCGTTGAGCTGAGCTATACCCTGTGACCTTTGTTAAGGTCTGAGTGGGGGTGTGGACGGCTGCCCAGCCATTTCTGGAGCCATCTGTGAAAACTGTAACTGCTCCTGGAATGGGCTGAGTTTGTAATACTGAGGGGAAAATGAACGACGTACACTTTGCAAACTGTAAGAGTTTATTAGCAGGATAATGACATCCAAGCTGACCAGGAAAATTTGCTAAAGCTATTTGCCACTCCGTGGAGTTTGCATATAACCAAGATTGCTGACTACTATTAAAAGGAACTATAATGGCCTGAGGCTCTTTTCCAAAGAGCTGGAGATATCTTCGTCTCCCCTCATTAATAAGTAAAGCTGCTAACTCATAATATGGCTGAAGATGTTTAGAAGGAGTGCTCTTTAAATGTAGCCACTCCAATGGACCAGCAGGTTGCCAGATGACCCCTGTAGGTATAGGGTCTGTATTACAAATGATGAGAGATACAGGTTGGGATGGATTTACTCAAATAAAATGAGCCTGTTGAGTGGCCTGTTATACTCTGGCCAAAGTGAGTTTTGCCTCTGGAGTGAGACTCCGGGGGGAGGTTGGCCTAGGCTCTCCCTGGAGGATGTCGAATAGTGGTTGTAAATCTCTAGTAGTTAATCGTTAAAAAGGCCTAATCCAGTTAATGTCCCCTAGAAGTTTCTGAAAATCATTAAGTGTTTTGAGGTGGCTAGTTTTAATCTGTACCTTTTGTGGTTTAATTAATCTCTGAGTAATCAAAGTCCCTAAATAAGAGAATGGAGAGTTTTCCTGAACCTTTTCTGAGGCAATGACTAGCCCTACCTTAGTAAGATTATCTTTGAGGCTCCCATATATTTGATATAACACCTCCTTATTAGCATGTGAGATAAGGACAACATCCATATAATCAATGATATAAGCTTCTGGGTGTAATTGCCTTATGGGCATCATGGTTTGACTAACAAACATCTGACAAATTGTAGGACTATTAGCCATGCCCTGGGGAAGAACCTTCCATTGGAAACGTTGCATGGGCTCCTAAAGTTTAGCGACATAACGCTAAATGCAAAATGTTTTTTATCATCAGGATGGAGAGGGATAGTGAAAAAGCAATCATTTAATCTATAATAATTAAATGGTAATTTATAGGAATAGCTGTGGGGGAAGGAAGCCCAGGCTGCAGGCTCCCCATGACCTCCATAACGGCATTAACAGCTCGTAGGTCTTGTAATGGCCTCCATTTTTAAAAATTTCTTTTTAATAACAAATATAGGCGTATTCCACGGGCTGGTGGATGGCTCTATGTGTCCAGCAGCAAGCTGTTCCTGGACAAATTCCATGGCTGCCTGAAGTTTCTCCTGAGTTAAGGGCCATTGGTCAACCCATACTGGTGTCTCTGTAAGCCATTTGATCTTAAATAACTTGGAGTAGGCTGCAGGAGATACCAAGGCCCTTAGGGAAAATTTTGATATCCTAGTCCTGATCTGTCAGTCTTAGGAATAGTTTGTATGGGCTCAAGTCTGCCCTGCCCTAATATGCCTAATCCCTGGCCTGGAATGTATCCCTGATTGAACATAATATTAGTGGCTCAATAACTAGGACTATAAATCATGACTGACATTTGACTTAAACTGTCCCATCCCAGAGGTTAACTGGGAGACCCTCAAGGATGAATGGAGTAAAAGTTCCAGCGTGTCCTTTAAGGTCTCTCCAATTTAACACTTTGGAACTTTGTAAAGTTCCTGTTTTCATCCCTATGCCCTGGAGACTAGTTAAAGCCTCCTGTGCAGGCCAGGAGGATGGCCAATGTTGTTTAGAAATTACAGATACATCAGCACCTGTGTCAATGAGACCTTGGAACGCTTTTCCTTCTATAGTTAGGTTTAAAATGGGTCGTTTTTGTCCTATTCTCTGAACCCAAAATACATCTGAGGACCCGAAGCCTCAGGACCCTCGTGCCTGCTGAGAGGCAGTTCTACCTGTTGTTACAGTGGGAATAAGTACTATTTGAGCTATTCTCTATGTGGAGAGGACCTGAATGATATCTCTAATAATTTTTATTTCTCCAGTATAATCAGAATCTACGACTCCAGGGAAGACTTGAAGTCTTTTTATGGTCCAGCTACTCTGGCCAAGAAGAAGCCCCACTGTATTAGGTGGCAGAGGGCCATAAACTCCAGTGGGGATGGCCTGTGGACCCATTTGTGGGGTTAATATGTACCTGGAGGAGGGACTGAGGTCCAGTCCTGCACTCCCTGGGGTGGTGCAGTATAGTTGTTGTATGGTGCACCATGTTGGCTGCCCCCAGGATTATAGAATGGGTTGTTCCTGGACATTAGGGCCATAAGTGATTGCTGGCTGTCTACTGGCACCAGGAGCACAAGGGTTAAAGCCCCCATTATTTGGCGGGGCCGAGGCTGGTTTCCCGAAAGCAGTTGCCCATTGATGTCAAATTGAGACCTACAATCTTATACCCAGTGTTTTCCATGCCTGCACCTAAGGCAAATCTGAGGTGAGTGTCCAGACTCCACCTGGGGAGTTTTACTAGGACACTCCCTAGAGAAATGGCCTGCCTGCCCACAAGAATAACATACTTCCTCCTTATGATTCCTCTCCCTCTTTTGTTTCAGCTTTGGGTTGAAAACCTTTTGTAGTGCCATGGCAAGAGCATTGCCCTGGATATAAGATGGCCCTACATCTGCACAAAGGTGGATAAATTCCAAAACATTAGCTTTCTTTCTATAAGGCTGTATTATAGATTTACAAGTAGAATTGGCTTTCTCAAATGCTAGCTGTTCGGCAAGAAACTGTGCAGCCCCTGGGTCATCAATGAGCCAATCTATGGCCTGTAGGAGCCGGGAGATGAAGTTCTGATATGTCTCATCTGGGCCCTGTCTTACATTAGACAGCTCCTCTGTCTTTGCCCCTGTGGTAGGAAGTGTCCTCCAGGCCCTAGTAGCACAAGAAGTAATCTGTTGATAGGCTATTGCAGGATATTCTACTTGATTATTTATGCCTGTGTAATTTCCTTCTCCCTTAAGCATCTCAGCTGTGACAGGTATCTGGTGTGCAGCATTTCGCTCTGCCTGCTGCTCGCACTGGTCAATGAACTCCACTTTCCAGAGCAAGTAATCCCCTCCAGTTAAAGAAGCCTTAGTTATCATTATCCAATCTTTTGGAGTAAGGGATGTGTTTGTAGAAACGGGCTCAAGTAATGCTAAGGTAAAAGGAACAGTAGGCCCATACTGGGCAGTCGAGGCTATGAGTTCCTTAAGCATCTTAAAAGGGATAGGCTCATGTTCCCTAAGCACCTGCCCTGGATTATTGGGGTCCAGACATTCTATTACTGGAAAACAAAATTGTTGATACTCCCCAATATCCTTGTCTCTTTCCGCAGCCTGCCTTAACCCACAGAGTACACTGGTCTCTGGGATCCTGTTCTTGGAACCTGAGACATATTTGACAAGCTGCTGCAAAACAGGCTGCTGCTGGCTGCGCAGATGGCAGTAGGTCCCATGGGGTGGGACGCCCTCGCCGGGAATGATACGCGGCCCAAGTGATGAGGGCCGGGCCCTCCTCCTTAGGGACCTCGTCCTCTTCTTCCTCCTCAAAAGAGTCCTCTGGCTCGGTATTTTGTCTTTGTTCTTTTTGGCTAGTGTATGTTTCTCTTGAGATCTGGTCTCCTCAAACTCCCGGACATCGTTACTAAATCTTTCTACTATAGGCTGAGACTGTGTTTTCAGGGGACAGGAAGCCTCCGGACTGGGATCAAGACTGTCGCGTACCAACTCCCAAAGTGAAAGTATGTCGCCGGAGAACTTCCCGGGCCCATCGAGCGCCTGACGCTCCTGGAGCTGTATGCCAACCTTTTCCCAGATTTTAGAATCAAGAGTTCCCTCCTTTGGAAACCAAGGACAGGTATCCTGTATATAAGCAAGAAAATCTTCTAACTGATGTCTTTTAACAGGTCTGCCGCAAGCCTGCAGCATAGATCTAAGCAACTGCAAATAAAGCTGATGGTCCCTTGACCCTGACTGTCCCATATTTTCTATGTCTATATGGGCTGCTGACCCTATTTACAATGTGGACTGCTGATCCTGATTATCCCTATCCTTATGTCTATATGGGTTGTTGACCCTATTTACAAGTAGGCTGATGGCCCTTTATGTACAATGGACTGTTGGTCCTGACTTGCCCAATGTTTTACTCCTGTCTGAAATTAGATATAGGGATACCAGATTGATCAATTCTGCTCCTCCATATACCGCACCCCGATTTGCCCCTACCTTCTCTGAAGCGGCGCATGCCTTCCTGTAGGGGGTCTCCTCACTTACGACTGCCTTCAATCCATGCTCAGGTCCCTGTTCAGGGCTCCAATTTGATGCGACCCACGCACCAACCAAGCATTCCTGACTCGTCAGCCAAGAACCCACCGAAAGGGTACCTGAGAGGACTGGGTGGAAGACTGGAAAAGAAAGAGACTTGAGACAAATCTGGGAACAGGAGGTCCACCCAATACTGATGGCAGAGAGTGGCGTCATTTATTATTTGTATACAGCTTTTATAGCAAAAGTAACTTTCCTAGGGTAGGGGGATTTTGGGACCTTGAGGGAGTAGCCCCCTCCTCTCAGGGAACAAATTCCTTGGAAGCAATCTTTCCGAAGTGAGTCAAAACAAAGTATAGCAAGCAGAAACTGTTAACAGGATGGCCTTCCACTCTGTAGCTTTGAAAGCTGTTGGTTGCTTTCTTCTCAGCGGCCAAGCTTTCCACACTGCTCACCCGGACCTAAGAGCCTATCAGCCTGCCAGCTTTCAGGCTTAACCCTTACTGCAGACCTCCGGCTCCCTACAAAAAAAAACCACAGCAAAATAAGCCCAAAGGGAGTACAAGAAAGGAGATAATAAAGACCTGAGCAGAAATAAATGAAATAGAGTCCAGAAAAAAATACAAAAGATCAATGAAACCAAGAGCTGGTTTTTTGAGAAGATAAACAAAATTGACAAACCTCTAGCCAGACTCATCAAAAGAAAAAAAAAACAGAGAGAGGACTCAAATTAGTAAAATCAAGAATGAAAGAGGCAAAGTGACAACAGACTCCACAGAAATACAAAAAATTTTAAGAAATTACTATGAGCAATTATATGCCAACAAATTTGACAATCTGGAAAATATTTTCCAGAAGCATACAAACTTCCAAAGCTAACTCAAGAAGAAACAGAAAACCTGAATAGACTGATTACTACCAAGGAAATTGAATCAGTAATCAACAAGCTCCCAACAAACAAAAGCCCTTGACCAGATGGCTTCACAAGTGAATTTTACCAAACATTCAAAAAAGAATTATCACCTATTCTCAAACTATTCCAAAAAATTCAGAAGGAAGGGAGGCTCCCAAACTCTTTCTATGAAGCCACTATCATTCTGATTCCAAAACCAGACAAAGACAGTACAAAAAAGGAAAACTACAGGCCAATATCCCTGATGAACATATATGCAAAAATCCTCAACAAAATATTAGCAAACAGAATTCAGCAATATATTAAGAAGATCATATACCATGATCAAGTCAGTTTCATCCCTAGTATGCAAGGTGGGTTCAATATCTGCAAATCAATTAATGTGATACACCATATCAACAAAATGAAAAATAAAAATCATATGGTTATATCAATAGATACAGAAAAAGCATTTGACAAAATCCAACAGCGATTTGTGATAAAAAACTCTTAGCAAAGTGGGAATAGAGGGATCATATCTCAACATAAAAAAGGCCATTTATGATAAACTCACAGCTAAAATCATACTCAATGGGGAAAAGCTAGAATCATTCCCCTTATGATCAGGAACAAGACAAGGCTGTCCACTTTCTCCACTTTTATTCAACATAGTTCTGGAAGTTCTAGCCACAGCAATCAGACAAGAAAAAGAAATAAAATGCATCCAAATCGGTAAGAAGAAAGTAAAATTTCATTATATGCAGATGACATGATACTATATAGAGAGAACCCCAAAGATTCCATAAAAAAACTGTTGGAACTGATAGACGAATTCAGTAAGGTAGCAGGATAAAAAATCAATATTCAGAAATCAGTTGCATTTGTATATACCAATAACAAACTATCAGAAGGAGAAATTAAGAAAAGAGTTCCATTTACAATTGCTTCAAGAACTATAAAATACTTAAGAATACATTTAACCAAAGAAGTGAAAGACCTGTACTCTGAAAATTATAAGACTCTGAAGAAAAATATAAAAGAAGATACAAATAAATGGAAACACCTACCATGCTCATGGATAAGAAGAATTAATATAGTTAAAATGTCCATACTGCCTAAAGCAATATATAGATTAAATGCAATTCTTATCAAACTACCTAGGTCATTTTTCACAGAAATAGAAAATATAATCCTAAAATTTATATGGAACCAAAAAAGACCCCAAATAGCCACGGCAATCCTGAGAAATAAGAACAAAGTCAGGGGTATCATGCTACCAGACATTAAAACATACTACAAGGCTACAGTAATCAAAACAATATGGTATAAAAACAAACATATAGATCAGTGGAACAGAATAGAAAGCCCAGAAATAAATCCATGCATATATAGACAGTTAGTCTATGACAATGGAAGCAAGAATTTACACTGGGGTAAAGATAGTCTAATAAATGGTGCTGGGAAAATTGAACTGACACATGCAAAAAAATGAAACTGGACCACCTTCTTAGACCATATAAGAGAACAAATTCAAACTGGATTAAAGGCTTAAATGTAAGGCCTGATACCATAAATCTCCCAGAAGAAAATATAGGAACTAAATTAGCAGACATTACCCTGAGCAATATTTTTACTGATACATCCCTGCGGGCAAGGGAAGTAAAAGAAAAAAGTGAACATATGGGACTACATCAAACATAAAAGTTTTTTCACAACACAAGAAACCATCAATAAAACAAAAAGGAAGCCTACTGAATGGGAGAAGATATTTGTCAATGATATATCTGATAAGGGGTTAATAACCAAAATATATAAAACACTCATGCAACTCAACACCAAAAAAACAAACAATCCAATTAAAAAATGAGCAGAGGATATGGAGAGACATTTCTCTAAAGAGAAGAGACAAATGGCAAACAGGCATATGAAAAAATGCTCAGCCTCACTAATCATTAGAGAAATGCAAATAAAAACCACAATGAGATACCACATCACCCCAGTCAGAATGGCTATCATCAATAAGTCAACAAACAACAAATGCTGGTGAAGTTGTGGAGAAAAGGGAAACCTGTGCACTGTTGGTGGGACTGCAGATTGGTGCAGCCACTATGAAAATCAGTATGAAGATATCTCAAAAAACTGGAAATGGAACTACCTTATGACCCAGCAATTCCACTCTTAGGTATTTATCCAGAAAAACTCAAGACACTAATTCGAAAAAATATATGCACCCCTATGTTCATTGCAACACTATTTATAATAGCCAAGACTTGGAAACAACCAAAATGCCCATCGGTAGACGACTGGATTAAGACACTACGGTACATTTACACAATGGAGTATTACTCAGTTATAAAGAAGAAGGAAATGATACCATTTGCAACAATATGGATGGACCTAGAGAACATTATGCTAAGTGAAATAAGTCAGTCAGAGAAAGACAAATAC